CGGGGGATTATTTGGTGTCGGCTACCGCTGCGGCAACTCAAATATCGCGTCCGCGGGGATCCAACAGCCATTCAGTGATGTTTGCCCAAACCAAATAAACACCACTACATCGTGTACATTAAACACTGCCAGTTAAAGGGAAAGCAAACCAAAGTAAATACATTTTATACGAAGCAGAAGGTTTGCAGTTTCTTCAGGTCAAACCATGGGGAACCGTAACGTTGCAGTCGACTTCTCCTTGCCATTATTTCCATTATTTCAGGGCTCAGGCTGCCACCATCAGTCCCGCATGAGCTCTAATGAGAAGCTGTGGTAAAACCAACAAGAGAAAAAGGGGTAGGCATGCAATATTTGGCTCGCAACTATATGGTCAATTGTCATTAATCCAGACCATTGATGCCATCTTCTTCCAAGTGAACGCTGAAGCCTTCAATAAATGATGGTGAGAGATGCAAGAATGTGTCACGGTGTGCGGGACGGCATGGTCCAAAGGCTGCAAAATCCATATTTCCACAAAGCGGTTCAGTTCATTTCGATTGGCCTCGGTTCAGATGGGGGAATGCAGATCAGAGGTGTATTCCTAACATGGGGACTGTAGGCAGAATGTCTGGGTCTGCTATGGATGGAATGTTGTTGTTGGTGTTGAGGGTTTTTTTAACCCTTTCATGCACCCTGTAAGTTGATAACATGGTAAGCTATCCACTGTAGTAACCGCTGTCCCCGAAAGGGTTAAATCTGATTCATCAATTACCCCCAAAAAATCATTTACAGGTTAATTTATTGTTGAAATAATCGTTCGTACGCAGGTAGGTCTAAATTGAGAGATTTGCAGCTTACTATGTTATCCAAGCAAAATCAGTAATGGCTAAGCTCACTCATTATTGGAATTGGCAGCATAAAAACCTGATCAGAAGACCCCTCAATATCAAATATTGAACACCGTCGAAAATGTTCATAACAATCATTTGAGGTTGTTTTGACAGCTATTTTCCCACTACTTTTACTGATGTTTGAGGTATCGTTTCACTACTGGTCCCAAAGAACTATAAAGCAAAAACAAAAAAAAAAAAACTATTATAAAGAAGACGTGATTCTTCTCTCAAACATCCCACGTCGGCCATTGGACTGCACTGAACGGAGCTAGGCTAGGATGTCCCCTGTTCTTTATCCACAAAATAGATGTCATCACAATACATTTGATTTGCAATGCACTTTACACTTCAAGTAAAGCGCTACAGGCAGTTTAACCCTTTCAGGGACGGCAGACAGTGGACAGCTTATCGTGTTATCGGGTTACAGGGTGCGTGAAGGGGTTCAAATCAAAGACCTTAAAAGGTTGCTGCAGTCAACCTCCTGTCTAGTCCGGCTCCAGACGGGCCTTTATTAACCTCCACTTTGCACGGCAGTTTATTTTCTTGCCGCCATCAGTCTTTGCCCAAATGAAAGCAATCTCATTACAATAGGCAGCAGACCAAGGGCAAAAGCTGAACGAAAGGTCCTAACAAATTAAGTACAAGAGCGTCGCTGTGCTCGACTTGACTGGTGGAGCAGCCTGTTACAAGGAACCAGATCCAGCTGGTGATCATTCACTTTTATGAGAACAATCAGACTGTTTTCTTGCAACACAGCAGACTTGAAGTCATTCCACGTACTGTCCATTAATATTATTCAAGGTTAATTAAGAGTGCGCTGTTTGCCGTCTCCGACAATGACTTGCCTGTCGAAGTGTGATGAGGTTATGCTTCGCCAATTGAAACGCTGCCGTTAATAGTCCGTCTTTCGATTTCAAACCGCAGGCCCATGTTAAGATCAGAATGTACTATTGAAATAGAAGTCGTGGGAAAATCCCTCGTTTGCCTGCAGCGTTGCCGTTACTTGTTTGCGTGTCTCATTCCGACTTATACATTTAATGCTGCTTCGCGGGAGCGACGCCTGAGCAGTTTTCCCGCAACGGCTAATTTCGTAGTGGAAAACCGACCACCCCAAACTAAGGCAAGTAAAACCAAGTCCAGCCGTGCCAGGTAGAGTATGTACGATGCATTGGAAAAGAAGGATCCTATATATTGAAAAGAAAAAAAAAAAAGGCATCTTGACGGTCACATTAACAGAGAGGACCACCGAGTACCGGAGCCCCGATTTTCGCAAAGTAGCGACTTCTCCGCGAGGTTCTCTCAGTTTCTCCTACTTGTGTCAACTCAACATAATCCAACCACAGTCTCCCCCTTAATATCCATAACCACTTCCCTAAGACATGCTCCATCTCAACATAAGCAAGAATGTGTGAAAAAATAATTCATGGTCCTGCTACCCCGCGTAGCTATCAATAACTGCCTTTCAGTCGTTGCGAGTACTGTCAAAGGCTGGGCGGCTTCTCCACCCCTCTAGCAAGCTTTCTTAAAACCTGATACCTGGATCTAGTGTGCGTGTACATTATCAGTCCAAGTGTTGGGCAACGTACAGTACAGTGCGGAGTCTGTGTTGCGTGCGCCACATTAAGTGGGAGAGAACGACCGCAAAAGGGGTTGGGGATAACATCCCGGATCGAAAACCACACAATAATTCATTTAAGTTGGTGGCATATTCTGACGCTGCAACGAAAAAAAAAAAAAAAAAGGAAATAAATAATGTATTCTATGCGCCTAACTTTGCGTGAAAAACGTATACATTACATAAGTGAACAGTCGGTCAAATCTGGCATTTGCACTTTATTTACTTTGCGTTCAGATGGTAATGATAATGTGCGTCGTATAATCAGAAATTGGCCGTTAAGTGTGTTTGCCTGGGAGGGGAGTGCACTGAGGTGTAGAGGTGAAGGTGGATACGCTGACACAGTAGTCGGGCATTGGAGACTTAACAGTTTTCCTTGACAGCTCCCAGAGGTTTTATTAAAACGTTCGGATTTAAAGAAAGGCCACTGGTTACCGACAACACATGGCAATCGAGCCTCAACAGCTCTGTGCGCGCATTCAGTCGCATTTTCAGGCCACATGAACGACAGAAGCTCGCTTTCTTTCATTTTAATCAAACGCCAGTTCATTTCCCCTCCTCTGGATCGGCTTCATCCGTAACGGTTGTGAACATAACAAACGAGTTTCAGAAATAAATACTGTTGACAGTCAAAACATGTATTGACTGGAAATGACAGAAAAATTTGCAAAAAGAACAAATGACGAAAGACACTAATAGCTTATTCCACAAGTGCTCTCTAGCGACTTGTGATGCGGAGATGTGTTTATTTTGCAGATCTGGTTCCTGTAGCCAAGATGTAAAAGATATTATTGGAGAAATCTGAACAGGGCGTGTCATTTTAGGGAAGAACTGGCAATGCAGACTGCAATTCGGGAAGGAGGAGGGGTTGATTATGAGAGCGGAGAAAATGGGAGCCACCGGTGTCCGATTGGGAACACATTCTTCTCTGGCATCAAATCTCAAGGCCGTTTTCCAGATGATTTATATGGCCTGGTTCAAACCCGTTTAGTACTGCAGCTTGGCAACACACTTGGACCCGGATTTGCGTGCACATCAAGACAAACAAAACAAATGTTTTTTCTCTTTAGGTAGTCACCCTATGGCAGGGGTGTCAAACCCATTTTCGCAGCGGGCCACATTTTCGTTACCATTTCCCTTGGAGGGCCATTATGACTGAAATCATATCAAGAAGTCAAGAATAACAGTTTCTTCAACTATTGTTTAGTTTCTGTAATGAGGTGTTTGGCAACAAGAAAATGCTTACAATGTCTCTCTTAATAATTACAATGTGAAAATGTGAAATGTTGTTCCATAATTTAGCAAGCATCATGGAAGTTGCTTGCGCGGGCCACATAAAATGATGTGGCGGGCCAGATCTGGCCCCCGGGCCTTGAGTTTGACCCCTGTGCTCTATGGTAATAATCCTTTGACTGAACATCCGGGAAATATAATATTGTGTTGTTTTGTCTTTTTCTTAAGTGTTTCTAACGTGTGATGACCTATCGTGGTCTTACATGAGTTCAGGACGATTCGAGTGGTTCTACATGTACTGGATATCACTAGCGAGAACCTTCTTCTAGAAGCCTGTGAAATGTGCAACGGCATGTCAAAATGCTCTTGGCGATTGAGATTATGGAAGGAATAAAGGCTCCTCCCACAACAAAACTGATTTGTACCACGCTGTGTCTTAGTGTGGACAGATCTGTGAAAGATGATAAGTCTTTCATCGGTAGATGCAATCATGTGTTTCGTTGAAGCTTCGGTTGAAATGTTACAAATTTGTTTGAACTGCAAAATTGATTGGAACAAGTATAATGAGACCTTATGTTGATTCAATGCACAACAATAAAACAGGATGTGAGAATCCAAGGAAAAGTCTTGAGCAATAGCACAATTTTGTCTCCAGAAGAACACTCCCATTGATCTTTTTAGGCTTGGAAGAACTCACGATCCAAGTATGACTGCATATAGTGCACGAACGACATGCATCAGGCAAACAAAGCCCACTCCTTTCTATTCCATTACGAGTCATTTCAGCAGTCGACAAGCTAACGACGACAAAGTTTAGCCTTTTCGCCGCCTTGCTCGTTTGGAAAATCTCCCCCCCTTAAACCTCAACTCTTGTCAGCTGTTCTTTGGAGCTGTCTTTGCGTTTTCTTTTCAGTATAAACAATATTTTTCTGTGAATAATTTCAACACTGTGCAAGCATTAATAGAGTGTGCGGTGCTTTTTGTTGCGTCGGTGGAAAAAAAAAAAAACAAAAGCTCATCAGCCACAAGTAGCCTTGAATCCGCTTCCAATCAATACATGAACCATCGCCAAAGCGTAGAAAGTCAAACCAAGAGGTTGCCGATCAGTGTGTCTGTCGCGCGTGTACTCACCGTGGCTGTGATGAGCGGACCGTGAAGTTGCGCGTGGAGCAAGGCCTCGTTCACGTGGCCTCGTACTCCCAGCAACGCGAGTTCCAGGCTGTGGTGGCCCACCATGGCGTGCGTGAGCTGTTCCAACAAGTTAGTATACCTCCTCCAAGGCTGATCGAGCTCAGATATACTGGCCAAGCAGCCGCGCATCACATTGAGACAATAACCCACACAGGGCTTGATGAGCGTTAGTCCTCTGCAATGGGAGCAGTACACCATCTTCACCAGGCCCTTAAGACAGTCTTTGGTCAAGCTCACGTGTTCGGTGGCATTCAGCACCTCCAGACCTTCCTCGAGGAACAGGCCCAATTGACGGCCCACGCTCATCGCCTCGGATAGCTCCTTGGCCATGACGGCCGGATGCGGCCCAAAAGGGTTGACGTCCTGCCTAATCATACGGAGGCAATCCGTCATTTCCGTGTCCGCCGCCACGCTGCTTACAATGCCCGGATTGATGAGCCGTGTGTAGACGAGGGGGAAGAGGTTGTTAAAAAAATGGTGGACCGTCGTCTCCGCTGAGACGTTGGCCCCGCGGAGATAAAGGGAGAGTGAGGAGAAGAGTTTGTTCACGTGGGGCAAAGCTTGACGAGAAAGTGGGGTGTAGGTCCCTTCCAGCAGAGAACTCAGGTGTCCTTGGGAGAAGGATAGCAGGTACTGGAACATGTCTACAAAAGAAAGCAAAAGAGAACATTTAGAAAGATGATCGACATACTCTTCCTTGACAATGTCCAAGTGCAAACTTATATCCAAAACCCTGGCCCCCTAAAGAGCGAAGCGCCACTTGTATGTGGCGGAATTTAGCATTGCAAAACCAGCGCCAACTTTCCTTTTAATATGGTGGCGATATCATTTTTTTCATGATGTCATCACCCCAATATGTCATGACCTATCGAGACGGTCGGCCAGTCCACAGAGGGAGACCGACGTGAGACAGCGATACAGACTTAAAATAGCAGAGTCTTGTCGTTTCATTTCAGATTTTACCACTGGAACAAACAGTCTGAGCCTAACAATGACCCCTTGACCCAAGCATTGTCATTTTCCGGATAGAGGGCACGTTGTTTGTTCACCCGTGAACGAGCTGTCCCCAATTAACTTCTCTTCACTCTGAAACGACTACAACCTTACACACAGTTGAACAAGAAAGTCATTCAGTTCTTTCTCGATTTCTTGATGGGTGAGGGGGGAAAAAAAAGCTGCAAAGTAATCAACGGTGCCAGTACAAAGTCCAATTAAACGTTTCAAGGTCCTCTTGTAGGCCCAATTAATCACACATGGTTTGTTGGTGAAGAAAAAAGGGAAATAAATCTCTTGCCCATTTAAGTCATTCACTCCCAAAGACGTTTTTAAACGTCTTTTCAGACCTGGTCTACAATTGTCTGGTACTGAATCTACCGTAGCGCGTCATCTAACGTTCATGTAGATGAACCGTATGTCCAAAAGTGTTTGTGTGCGCAGGCTGTGGATGCTCCACGCTACACTTCTGGGATGTGATGTCAACTTAAAAGCATGCCTGGACATGAAGGAAGAGTAGCAACTGTGGTACCCCAGTGCGCCCCCTGTTATGTCTTCACAAAGGTTTGCGTAACTTGGTGGTCTTAAGCAAAATATTCAATTGCGATCATTGTACAGTAATAATTGCCCACCTTTGTGTGTGCGTGCATGTACAGTATATCTGTGTGTGTGTGTTTGTGTGTGTGTGTGTCGCACCGCGCAGACAGAAAGATAACAACGGTCAATCTCAACAGCTGCACTAATATGTCTGACACATAGGAACTCCCGGCTGGCCAGTAAAGGGCACGTGTAACTCTCCCAAATACAACTGACGTTTATATGCGGCTACCACAAAAAGATTAAGAGTTATACTCCCACAACACAGACAAGTTATTTTTTGCAAATATCGTCATGAATTTCCTCAACACTTCACCATTTTAAGAGATGAAAATGTGTTTTGTTTTGATACGACCATGTGGGGGCATCGCGCTTTCTCCAATGATAGTTTTGGCACGGTGCCTCGTTGGACATTCTTAAACTCAAGCCAGTGTATAAATTACATTGTGGGCGGAGATCGTGCAGTATGATTTGACCTCTTTATGTTTCCGTACATAGCAGACTCACGTGTCATTACAAAAGGGGAACATTAGTGACAGCTGCATCGGACGGAACCACTGTGGGGTGAATGCTCATCGGTTCGGATCCCATATGAAAGCAGTATATGCTTAAGTTATGAGTCACATCTGTTACCCGCACTACTTCCCCCCCCTCCCTTCCCCACCCCATTCATGCATTAGTTAGTAAATATAAATGGCCTCAGGCTGTTTATTTTTTTTCCACAGGAAAAAAAACTATTTAAAAAAAACGTCAAACACAATTTAATTCGACATAATTCAAGAGACCGTTTTTTTTTTGTTTGTCACAGAAAAAAAACAATTAAAAAAAAAACGTCGAACACAATTTAATTCAACGTAATTCAAGAGACCGTTTTTTTTTGTTTGTCACAGAAAAAAACAAACAAAAAAAACGTCGAACACAATTTAATTCGACGTAATTCAAGAGACCGGTTTTTTGTTTTTTTTTTGTATTTGTTTGTTTCTAAGCAATGCCAACTGTGTGTGCCTCACTTCCAGAATCCCTGGAAGTCCCAATGAAGTGAAACCATGAAACCCAACATGCGAGTGGAACAATGAAGGTCTATGTTTGGACTTTGTTAGCGGTGGCCGTGTCCCCCATTTGTCCACCATGCAGGACAAATTATAAAGACTTTCTATATGCTTCATGGTTTATCGTGGTGTTGGCGTTTTGTGTAAATACCATAAAAGTGTCAAAAGCTTGATGTTTTGCAATGAGCCATCCAGAGCAACCTGCAGACAGATTATCATACAGTCATTTGAATGTTCCATCTTGAAAAACCTGCATGAGGGCCGTTAACAATCAGCCCTTTGACTGTATTCATGAGCCCCAAAGGGGTATCCTTGAGGTGAGCTCTAACCTCCTATTCTCCGGCTGCAGTAGTTATTTCGTCTGTAAGAATTTGGCTAGGGTCCCAATACAAAACAAAACGAAAAAAAAAATGTAACCCGTTGCTGAAAAGAGTGTCACTTTATTTTCACATGAGCATTAATCGGCATCGGAAAGAGCACTATTATATCATTGTTATCATATTGACAATTATTGGGTTGACTGAGGACATTGTCTGTGGGCTCAAGCTATTAAAAAAAAAAAAAAAATCATATTACTCAAGACAATTCAACGCAGAGAGAATCACAAATAATTTGTAAAACCGTGGTTTCAGTTCAGTTTGGGGTCTTTCCGCTTCTTGAGCGGGCACAAGTGTGAGCTCTGTCTGCTTGCTGTCAACCCAGGCCGCAAGGCTCCACTGCCACACGACATTCATACCACAACATATAACCGGCCACTAAACTTACACACGATTAGATCAATGTTTGCCTGAAGTGATCATGTTAGCAAATACCATGTTCTAGTGTTGCTCTGTCAAGTGTATGTTTCACGAAATTGATTTGATTGAATATGATTGTATATTTGTGAACCCATATGTTAATTTGGGAGGCTACAATCCATGTGAGTGTTGAGCAGGTTCCTGTTTGAACATTTTATCTACTCCCATTTATATTACTTATGAAGGAGTGGTGGTTCTGTCCATAAATACGTGGTCTGGATACCAGTGTTTGATGTAAAATGTGCATTTATGGACCAATTTGCCAATTTGTCCATGAGCATGGCACCGAACCTTTAAAACTGCTTGGAAGTGCAGTCGTGCAGCCGCCTGCACTCCCACTCCCTACAGTTGGAAATACATCGATAACTAAGATGGTCTCAAAACCGGCTTACTTTTCAATTGGAGCCGACATGTTTCTGCGCCGTGTGAATGAAGAACCGGCTGAAGTCGGATGAAGGTGTTGAATGTTGAAACGTGACCTACTGACTCCTACAGGTGTTAAATGGAACAACAAGAATTCAACACACGGTGAAAATGGCCGCCCGTGTACTTGTTAGCTGTATAATACCGATATCAAAGCACAAAATGATCGCCCCAAAAACAAACTTTACAGACCCCCACAAAAAGTGAACAAAAAGTCATCTACATTTGTACCGAATACCATGGAGGAGGACATTTTGAAAAGCCATCTGGATTCATTTGGCCCCTGGGATGGGCGCACATCCCCACCTTTCCGCTTCCGTTTCTTCCAATGCGCACAGTTTATGGAGATGACAAAAGTCCACCTTTCCCAATATATTCCGCATTGAAAGGAAACACCGAATCTCTTGATACATCGTTTTCAGCTTTTCTCTGTTCTTTATCAAGCGCTCTCCCACGCTCATACTGACTCAGCGCCTCAACTGTGATAAATCAAACAACTGCTGTGGGTTTCTCCGTACTTTACAGTACTGGGGAACAGAGTGAGAACAAAACATAAGAAACCAAAAAAAGGCAGCTTTGAAGGCCCAAATTGCGACCACAGAGCCTGAATACAGCTTTTACCTCACACACTGCTGTGGCTGAGCATCATTACTGTGTCACATTCTCCCATTAGGAAGCTGCTCTTAAGTTTTGTATGAAGCAGTTAATCTGAAAGTGTGAGGAAGGGCCCAAGAATACCAGCATCAGAGCTGCATATTTTCCAGGACAACCTCACAGGAAGGATGCCTGCGTATCCAAAAGAGAACTTATGGCTTTGGAAATCTTTCACCAGGCAAGCGGGTGACAACGCAGAGTTTTTTTTCATAAAAGGCTACTTCCCCTTGACATTCTGTATGGCACTGCTAAACTGTCATTATGGGGAGTCTGTCTCCATAATATCAAAGTAAAACATAAAAAATAAAATGGCAGATGCCTGATTCAAGCCAGAAGTATAGTGTTACCACGCTTTGCAACACAGTGGTCTCTGACTTCTGAGGCATTTCAGTATTGTGAAAGATGAGTGTAAGCATGTGTGAGTTGAACTGAGCAGTATTGTTAGAGCGTGAGGGAGCCACGGCTTCAGTGTGGTTGCCAAAACCCAGCACAGACATGCGGCACCAGACAGGCCTGCACTGACACAGGGCTCGCACAGCCTGATTATACTGTGTAAAGAATAGCATTCCCTGAAGAGAATGGACTGTTTCGCAGTCTCCAGCATCTGAATTCATTTCACCAAAATGAATCCTGTCAGTCATCCAGTGCGCAAGTTTCCATATTGGCTTTCAGATAACGCGCTGGAAGAGATGAAATACGTGCCGTGTGACACGTGTACAGAAAAAAATGTGTTTGCAAAGAGGTAGGTGATAACCAATTATCACTGACCGGAGACGAAATTCAGCTTGATATGGTGTGGATATGATTTGTTTTTAAATGTCCTTTAAGATTAGGAAAAAAAAAAGTGTAACTATTGAACAATTACCACATTTGCCCTTTTAATTTATTCCCGATTACTCATTTTTAGTCATTGGGCAAAACGGAGCAAGCGAGGCAGCTCTTTATTTTAGTGTCTGTTTCAAATTTAAGTGTTTCCATGATTGAACTATCATCATTAGTTAGCAAAGCTCTTATTCAGAAACTTGGAATCCGAAAACCAAACTTTCTGAGACACCGCATTCTGCTGTTGGACTTTACGTGTTCTTTTCAATCTGAATCTCTTTAAGGGCCAAGCGAAACAAAAGTTACACT